ATGGATTCTCAGTTCCTGTTAAGTGTTACTGCGAAAGAACACCCCAATATGTGTTCAGCAACATCTCCTGAGTACAACAGTGCCCCCGAGGTACAGGTTTTATAGGTTTTTGCAAACTAACAAGGCTCAAATGTAGGGCTTTCTCCTTTCCAAGTTTGTACATTGAAATTTGCCAGATTGGTTTGCTGGGCCTATGTTGCCTTTGAAACTGTATAGCAGCCCAGGAATGAAAATTAACCCCATCATGGCATTCCATTTGTAAAGGTAGACAATCCATGGTATTCAAAATGGGGTATGTTCAGTCTTTTTTAGTGGCCACTTAGTCACACACCCTGGCCAAACTTTAGGCATGGATTTTCAGCTCCTGTTAGGTGTTACTGCCAAAGAATACCCCAATATGTGTTCAGCAACATCTCCTGAGTACAGTGATACCAACTATGCATAGGTTTGTTGGGTTGTTTGGCGGGTGCAATGCCAAACATCTGACATGTTTTTTAAATTTGACATTTCTTCTTTGCGTATCTTCTTTTTGGGGGCCCTTTTTAGATATCCCAATTTATTTTCTTGCCATGAGCGTGCAAATATTTAAAAAGTTGACACCCCCACAGTATAGTATAAGGAGTGTTTTGATGCCTTTGGTGCAATCGTTTTAGTTAAAAAACAGTTACAATTGTATGACTTGTAATTTGAGTTGAAATTTAGAGTATTTCTTCTGATAGGCTTATCTTTAGTTTGGGGCTTATCACATACCCCAGTTTTATTTATTGTCATGAAAGTGTATATATTTGAAACGTAGACACCCCAAGGTATTGTACATGGAGTGCTGTGATGCAACTGTTCTAGCCCAAAAACTTGTAGAAAGTGTGTGGTGGTAATTTTTCAGTTTTCATTTTTACACACACATTGCTTTTTGACTGTGATTTAAGAGCCTGTTGGTTATTGCAAGAAAGCCCCACTCTCCAGGTTGTTTTCTGCAAGGCCTCCTGAGTACACCCATGCCCCCAATGCATAGGTTTGCCAGGATTTTGGGAAAGGGCAGTTACAATTGTATGACTTGTAATTTGAGTTGAAATTGAGAGTATTTCTTCTGATAGGCTTATCTTTAGTTTGGGGCTTATCACGTACCCCAGTTTTATTTATTGTCATGAAAGTGTATATATTTGAAACGTAGACACCCCAAGGTATTGTATATGGAGTGCTTTGATGCAAACGTTCTAGCCCAAAAAATTGGAGAAAGTGTGTGGTGGTAATTTTTAAATTTTAATTTTTACACACAAATTGCTTTTTGACTGTGATTTAGGAGAGCCAGTTGTTGGTTATTGCAAGAAAACACTCCAGGTTGTTTTCTGCAAGGCTCCTGAGTACACCCATGCTCCCCATACATAGGGTAAACGTAACAAAAAAAATAACTGAACGGCAAATGTAAAACTTACTAACTAAATAAATAAATAAATGGACCAGTGTGTGGTATCATTTGAAGCAGTCCTCAATGCAGAGTCCAGGCTGTCCAGGGCAATCAAGACAGTAATATATGATATCTTTTCTCTGCCCCCTCTTAAAACAGACTCTGCATCTTTTTTGGGGATTCGTCTTTGCCACAGTAGGGGAGATTTTAAAAATAAAATGTGTAGCCCCAACTCTGTTCTCACCGGGGAGCAGGTGCATAATGGTACAAAATCCCCAAAATGATCTGGAGCTGAAACTGTAAAAAAGTCAGTTGCATTCTGGGGTTTGCTTTTGTGCACAACATTTTTTTTTTTTTAACCCCTTAAAACCGGAGGACGTACAATTATGCCCTCTAATAGGCGGCTATAAACGCCGCCGGGCGTAATTGTACGCCCTCCGGTTTTTGTTAACTTACCCGGTCGCCGGCGGTCCCACGCCGGCGATCGCGGTTGGGGGGACTCCCAGGGAGCCCCCTGCGGCACATCCGTCCTCGTTGAAGCCCCCCGGCCATGTGAGAGTGGGGTCTTAGCGAGGACCCCACAATCACATGGCCGGGTATAGCTGGCTTCTGTATTGCCGGCAGGGGGGCTGCCTGTAATGACAGGTGGTCCCCCTGCTGGCTGAAAATAAAAGTAAAATAAGTTAATGGTGTAAAAAAAAATTATTATATATACTTAGATCATATATATATATTATATATATATGATCTAAGTATATATACACACATATACATACACACATGTACACCGTCTAGGTGTATTTTACTATTAATATATATATAATTATATATATATATTAATATCAAATTACACGTAGACTGATACTGATTAAATATATATATAATTATTGTTACATATATATTTATATATAATATAAAAAAAATAAAAATGTAAATACGTTAAAAAATAAAATTAAAAAAATAATTAAAAATAAATAATTAAAAATATATAGATGTGTGTTATTTCGTTCTAACTGTTTTGTGAAATTAATATATATATATATCAAAATACACGTAGAACGAAATAATATATATATCTATATACATAAATATATACGTATATATCACTATATATATACCTATATATAAATAAAAATATTTAAAAAAAATTATATAGATTATATACATATATATACACATACGTATATATATATATACATATATTAATTCTACATATATATTTATGTAATATTTTTACATAATTAGGTATCTTAATTAATTACAATTAGCAGGACCTGCCTGACAACCCATGCCGAAAGTAAAAGGAATTTAATTTGCTAGCACTATATTTAACCCTATAACTTTCCAAGACACCATAAAACCTGTACATGGGGGGTACTGTTCTACTCGGGAGACTTCGCTGAACACAAATATTAGTGTTTCAAAACAGTAAAATGTATTACAACGATGATATCGCCAGTAAAAGTGAAGTTTTTGCATTTTTCACGCACAAACAGCACTTACACGGACGATATTATTGCTGCGATACTTTTTACTGTTTTGAAACACAAATATTTGTGTTCAGCTAAGTCTCCCGAGTACAACAGTACCCCTCATGTACAGGTTTTATGGTGTTTTCAAAAGTTACAGCGTCAAATATAAGGCTTGCATTTGATTGTTTTTCACATTAAAATTCGCCACATTGGTTACGTTGCCTTTGAGACCCTATGGTAGCCCAAGAATGAAAATTACCCCTATGATGGCATACCATTTGCAATAGTAGACAACCCAAGGTATTGCAAACAGGGTATGTCCAGTCTTTTTTAGTAGCCACTTAGTCACAAACACTGGCCAAAATTGGCGTTTTTTGCATTTTTCACACACAAACAAATACTAACGCTAACTTTGGCCAGTGTTTGTGACCAAATGGCTACTAAAAAAGACTGGACATACCCCATTTGCAATACCTTGGGTTGTCTACTATTGCAAATGGTATGCCATTATGGGTGTAAATTTCATTCCTGGGCTACTATACAGTCTCAAAGGCAACGTAACCAATCTGGCGAATTTCAATTTCAAATGTAACGTGCTATATTTGACCCTGTAACTTCCCAAAACGCCATAAAACCTGTACATAGGGGGTACTGTCTTACACGTGAGACTTTACTAAATACAAATATGTGTATTTTATTGCAGTAAAATCAAACAGTATTATGACACTGACCTTTAAAATGCAATTTAGAACTAAAAAAATCAAAAAAATCGTATTTTCTCCCATTTTTTTCATATTAAATTATGTTTCATAGCTAAATATTTGATATTAAATGAAAGCCCTGTTTCCCCTGAATAAAATGATATATAATAAGGGTGGGTGCATTTACTATGAAAGAGGTGTATTACGGTTGGACAGACATGTAGCGCAAATGCCAGGTTTTGTTTACATTTTGTTTTGTTCACAATGTGTACATTTGGCTCCGTCCTTAAGGGGTTAAATATATATATTTTGTGCACAACTATTTTTAAACTAGACTCAATAAAAGTTAGATATTATATTTAGGGTTGCTCAAGATACATTCGAGACCCACGGGACTGGTATATTGTTCCCGGTGGGCTCCTTTGTATCTCCTTTTCTCTTTTTGTATCGACCCAGTCATCTAGCCATCATTATTTGGCCCTTGTCAAAGTCACGAAGATCTTTTCACTTGCCTTTTTTCCTGCTTCCAACCCATGAAATTAAAGACTGGACTGTTCACTTGCTGCCTAATATATCCCACCACTTGACAGGCGCCATTGTAATGACAATATAATCAATGTTAATCACTTTACCTGTCAGTGGTTTTAATGTTCTGGCTGATTACTGTACATACCTTTTTTTTGCTTATCTGTTTCTATCCTATCTGAAGTGTTTGAAACAGAATGAATTTAATAACAGAAAGTTGTGTAGACATAGGAAGTGCCTTCACTTCCTCCCAGCACTGCCGAAAACCAAAGGGCCCAGTCGTGCTGTTAAAAGGCTACAGCGTGTGACCGGGCCCCTGCTTATAAATACCCAACCGGTGGCCTCTTTAATGTGGGGGGTGGCGGCCCCATGGGGGAAAGAAAATAGGAGAGGGCAGCAGATTTGGGCTCTCCAGAGTAACTGGGCCCGGGGCAGCTGCCCAGTTTGCCCTGCGTTAAAGACAGCCCTGCATACTACCCTACATTTACTTTTCCATCTTTTGAGTCAATAACTTTGTAATGCTTATTTTTCTATTCATGACTTAGCATTTCTGAAATAACTTACCTTTGGTACTCTAAGAGCAGCTTTGCTATATTCATATATATATCTAGATCTTGTTCATAACTGAGCATTTCTGTGACAGCTGCAAAATTTTAGAGTGTTTGATCAGTCAGTATTTTCTTATGATTATAAATATGAGATTAACATAATAACCCTATTTCTATCTCACCCATATTGATGACATCATCAGGTAGGGCACACTGCAAAAGAATTTTCATTTTCAAGAAAAGGCCAGCAGGATGTATATTTTCCTAGAAATTCAGACAAAACAGGGGAAAAAAACAGCTAGAATGCATATTTCTTACATGAAAGCTGCATCTGGGACTCTTGCTATTGAAATTTATAAGCCATAAAATAGTCCAAGGCTCAAATTTTAACATCCTATGCTATTAGACAAGCCTAACATTTACTCGCCACAGATAGCCTTAGAGGGTCCATGTCAGACTAACCATGTTTAAATTTCTACTCACTTGAGATTAATTTTCACTTGTAAATTGCTAGTGGGCAAATGGAAACATTGAATAAGTGATATCATTCCCTATAACATGAGTGTTCTAAGCTGCTTGACTGATAGCCCTGGTGGAACTACTTTAGCAACAGCTATTTTCACAAATTACTGCCACTATAGCCCACTCTCACAAAAGAGAGTACGCTCAGTGTCCTATACGCACCAAGCACTTTTGTAATAACACAAACAGCTTTTGCTGTTACTTAGAAGGGCTCTTTAACCATCTTACTGGTATTGTTCTTTCTGTGATTTTTAAAAACTTTTGACTCTGTATACGATTGAAAATACAATACTGTAAAAATGAAATACAATAAAAAATAAAAGGCTATAACTGGAGCAATAAAAAAAAAAAAAAAATTGATGACAGAGCCTCTTTAAGAAGGAACTGTATTCCACAGGTAGCACTTGTGAAGCAACTACTTCATGTAAGATGCAGAGACTATGGGTGCAATACCTGATAATTGCAGGCCTATATAATACCTCATTAGCCATTCTAATAGCGCTAAGAGCCTTGTCTTGGTATAATTTGCAGTCCCACTCCATGTACACTGTGGCTAGAAGTCTCAGCACTTTGGCCTGTAAAAACAAAAGTAATTAAAGAGAGTACCAGCACATAATTTAAACATTGCATGATGCATTCTATTAGCAAAGGTACATTTCTCTTTTTTATTGAAGAATTCAAGTTTTAAATTCCCTTAAGGACTGAGGCAGTTGTACAAGTTGTGATCAAAACAAAACCTTGAAAAATGCAAATTTAATGCTAATTTTGGCCAGTGTTTGTAACCTAGTGGCTACTAAAAAAGACTGGACATACCCCATTTGCAATACCTTGGATTGTCTACTTTTGCAAATGGTATGGCATCATGGGGGTAATTCTCATGGGGGGAAGCTCCAATGATTTGAAATAATTCTGAGTCCTGTGAGCGCACTTCAAACAAGGATATTTGAGGATATCCTTGTTTGAAGTGCGCTCACAGGACTCAGAATTATTTCAAATCATGCTGTTTATTCAAAGCATCAAATTTCCAGTAAATGGTGTCAACGTTTCAGTCCTCCGTCTTGAGAAAAGTCCCTGGAGGACGGAAACGTTGACACCAAATTTGATGCTTTGAATAAACAGCATGATTTGAAATAATTCTGAGTCATGTGAGTGCACTTCAAAAAAGGATATAAATAAAAAGCGACTTTTGGAAGACCTAGAGTGCCGGTATTTTTTCTAATTAATATATATATATATATATATATATATATATATATATATATATTAGAAAAAATACCGGCACTCTAGGTCTTCCAAAAGTCGCTTTTTATTTTCTGTCAATCCAAAGGGTCAACGTTTCAGCCCCTATCTCCTGATACTCGGCGTCTGTTCAGCGCAACTGCGCATGCGTGCGGTAACAGGAATCACCTCCTCGTCATGAATCAGCTGGGGCCCTTCACATGGCGCGGCTACGTCACGTTGCCATAGAAACCGCAGAAACACTGTGGCTATAGGCAACATTGTGCTTCCGTAAACATTTCTCATTTAGGCCTTTGGGAGATAATGTATTAATAAAGGATGTCAGATCGGGCAGAGGGGGTCTGCTTGAGATTCCAGGCAGACGCCAGGATCGCGACCGCCGGCGTGGGAACGGGGGGATCCGGTAAGTAGTAAGGACGGCGGGGACGTTCTATGCTGCCCGCTGACATTTAGGACCGCCCCAAAAAAGGCATAGAACGCCCGCCATCCTTAAGGGGTTAAGGGTCACTCCACTGCCTAAATACAAATAAATATCCCAATTAAAACACGCAAAGAATATTAGTATTTATATAGCGCTAACATATTTCTCGGCGCTTTACAATGATAGGAGGGGGATAATTTAAAGACGTTCACGCACAAAATTTTAACAGAGACAAGGCCCTGCTCAAATGAGTTTACTATCTTTAGTGGGATTATATCTAAAAAAGCTTACAAAAGCTGCAGATCTTTTGCTTCTGGCCTTTGCAAGACCCTACTTTCTGTGGATGTCCAATCACAGACTTCCCAATGCAGCTGAATTAGAAGACTTTGCAAGGCAAGAGCTCTGGCCAGTTCTTGCCTCTTGAGTTTAGTTCCACTGAACCACACTACCAGGATGTAACAGGACCAGTTGTCTAATTGACAGCCAGGGAGTGTAATAAGTTAAAGCACCAGTAAAGTCACTCAGGCCAATTCATCTCAATAAAGTTGCCCAAGTGTAGTGATCCTGTCCTTTAAACCTTGCAATGTAAAACACTGCAGTTTTTTAGAAACTGTAATGTCCAATTCGGGAAATATCTCTTCCCTTCAAATGCTCTTTAAAGGGAAGAGATACATCCTGAGTGCTCGGCCCTGGTCTGGACCCTCACAAAAATCCTTCTATGGGCTCCAAACCCAGTCCTCAAGTACCCCCTACAAGTCCAGAATTTTAAAATGACCCTGTTGTGTCTAAAGTGTTTTGTTTTCTTTTCTAAAAAACACCTTAAACACAACTGGATAATCCCTAAATCCTGGACTGTTAGGGGGTACTTGAGGACTGGGTTAGGAACCCCTGCTCTAGAAAAATAAGCAGTCTGGCAGCAGCCTGGAGTTCCAGCAATCTAGGAGGTTTACAGATTGGTCAGCAGAGATTAATCCTTCTACTTCAAACTTCACACCTGAACAGCAACCATGGTTCCCACACACAGGATAAGATCTAAACCATGGTAAATGCATTTCAAATAATTTTTACAACAGGAAGCACTGTTTTTCACTTTTTTTTTTTTAAGTTTTCAATTTTTTTTCTCTTTTATTTGTGTAATATAATATAGAAACATTGCCTTCTATCATCACATGCAAGATACAGGAAGTTATACAATAAAGAGAGTCCTCCTGGAAGGGAACGTCTGTATGACAGAATTCAACTAAAAATTGAATTTAAGGGTTCTCCAATTTCTGTGTATTATGCTTTTTATGCTCCATGTTATGTATTGAACAAAATAAGATTTGCAAATATTCTTGTTTAGGGTTATGTATATATTTATATGTTTATTTGTCAATGATCATCGTTGTTTTCACATTTGGTGATGGAGCCTCATGTTTAAGCACATAGGATTGTCTATTTACATTTTGTTCTGTAAATTGAAGATTATGATAGCTTTAGTGTACTAATAATCTTAATTTTAGTAACAACAGGAGGTGGGTATTTTGCATAATCTCTCTTTACTAGCTCCACACAGCAGCAAAGAAACACAGAAAAAAAAAAGAACCAATCACAAGAGAGTAGGATGTACATAAGGCATAGTGAGCTCATCACTTCCTCTTTTAGAAAGCGACATCAAGCAGAAGTAAACATAGAACAAGCAATAACAATAACTACTAAGTTCAACATCTGAAGGAGCAAACTTCCCTGTGAATTCCACACAAACAACGAAAAAGTGTTCAGGGACGAATCAAATCCAGAGCATTAAAATTCCAGAGAGTTTCCTGCAAAACAACCAAATGTCTTCAGAGACGAATCATACTGAAAAGAGAATGTGCGACAGGTTTAGACACATAGTATAGCATGAATGTGGAACTGCACTCAATCCCAAATGAAATGAATCCGGGTGCAACCAGACCAGTCCCATTACCAGGAACCAAATACTTGACGAAGACAAAAAAACGTTCACAACATTTCAACCTACACGCTCTTTTTCAAGCTTGACAAAGACCATGTAGGTCGAAACTTTGTG